TCATAGCTGGGTGAACGGGAAAGATGGATTCATGCCTTAAAGCAAAGTGAACGGAACAGACACCATTAGAATTTTAACTTGGTTCGTCGTTCCTTTTTTTAACAGTGAGATTCACCCTGTACAAGGCCCAAGAACCACTCGAGGTAGAAGGTTATATGTGAGAAAGATAACACTAAACATGAACATGTTAAGATTGTAGTGATCAGGAAAATATCCTCTTGGGAGTCGATTCCGCAGAGCATTGGTTTGCGGGTAGAAGCTGCTCGAGTGGAACTTCTTACCAATATTCCACTTTCGGTACTAATATCCATTACTTTGCCTGGATATGCTCTGAAAGACAAAATCTTTGCTTAATGTTATATACGAGTAAAGTGTCCCTGCCGACACTTGAGTTTGAACATAGATCGCCACTGAACAAATACAGGCGATCCCATTATTGAATTAAGTAGACCAATTGATCATAGAGGAAACGCATATATGTAGGAAGTAGCTGATGACTAACGATCCTTATTCCTAGTCTATCCTCTATTACTATTCAAATCGCTATTTCTAGTTTCTTCTCTATTACTATACGGACCGATATTCTATACTCTATTCACTATATTATTTCTCTATACAGATCACTATACGCTGGTTGATATTCGAGCGAGTATTATCGAGCAAGTACTATTAGTGTGCGTAATATTGGAAGGCGTCTGACACTGGCGTTACTATAGTTGTAACTGCGATTACAAAGTCTCTACTACAACGAGCATTACGAAAGTGACAATGAATATTCGTTGACATTACAAAAGTGTCAAACGAGTGTTCGTTGACATTAGAAAACTTAACTATTCACTAGGCTAAATAAAGAGATATGTTAGGCAGGAGGATCATGTTGCGCCAATCTTTAAGCTACGTAAGGATACGAGGTAAACACGATTGTAAAGACGAAGAATTAGAAGGGAAGGAAGGATTAAAAGAAGGAGAAATGCATGAAGAAAGAAACAATAAAGAATTAAAACGACTAAAGGCAAATTGAGAAGAAGGAGGAAAGGTTAAGAGAATTAAGTAGAAGAAGACAAAGATGAAAACAACTGAATGAAAACGAAAAAAAAAGACAAAAACAAAAAATAATATAAAATATACAGCAAAAAAAGAAAGGAGTTGTAAAATAAAAGTTAAAATAGAAAGAGACAAAGAAAAGGAGAAAAAAGAAAAGTAAGTGAGGAGAGAAGGGAAAAGAAAGATTGAAAGAGGGATAAAGAACAGGTAAAAAGAATGAATAAAGAAAAGGGTTGAAGAAAAGAAAGAAGTTCGTAAAAAAGAAAAAGAAGAATTTGCAGAAATAAATGGCGGAAAGGTGAGAAGGAAGTGTTAGCTGAGACTATAAAGAAAGAGGCAAAAAGGAACAATAGACTGAGAGAAAGAGAGAAAAAGAGTGAGAGAAGATGAGTTGTCGTTGGATAACGTTTGCTGGTTATCGCCGTCGGCCATGATGTACAAGGGTTGGGCTTTTAGCACTCTCGAAACGGTGGTAAGAATTTAATATTCAGCCTTTGTAGAAGAAAGTCGAATTATCATCATCGACGATGGTCGGCACTTCTTCAAACGACAGGCGTAGAACAAAGCAGAAATGGTAAAGAATTGGTATCAGATTGTAGATTAGGGAACGAACCTGGCAGAAGATAGTGTGAACGGACGAAATAAGTATGGGAAAGAAGTGGGTCTGGCTAATAAAGATTGTACGAAGAGAAGATTGGAAAGGAGAGGAGTGGGGCCCCGGAGGAAAGAAAATATTTCATGAAAGAAGGGAAGAAATAGGCTTGTTATGAAAAGTCGGAAAAGAGAAATTAGGGGAAAAGATAATTGCAGAAGACTCTTAGAAAGTAGGTCATACTGAGTCGAAGATGGATGAGAAGGAAAAATGGAAGAGATAGGAAGAAGAGTTAGGAGAGTGAAAAGAGACAATGATAAAAAGAATAGAGACAAAAAAAAAACAAAGAGTAATGTGGAGGGAGAGCGAAAGACGAAAATGAATATGAAAAGGAAAGAAAGGCACAAATGGCAAGAGAGAAAGACAAAAAGGAAACAGAAAAAGAGAAGAGAGAGAAAGGCCAAAAGAAAAGAACAGTGAAGAGGAAAGAAAGGCCAAGAGATAAGAGAGGAAGACGAAAATGAAATTGAGAAAAGAGATAAAGACGAAAAGTAATGAAAAGCTAAGAGATAAGACGAAAAGGAAACACAGAAAACGAGAAAAGAGAGAATGACAAAAAGAAAGGAAGACAAAGAGGAAGAAAGGTTAAGAGATAAAAGGAAACAGCGGAAATGTAAGGGAAGAAAAAGAGAAAAACCTAAGAAAAAGAAAGATAAAAGAAAAATGGAACCGTGAAAATGTAAGGGAGGGAAAAGAATAAAACTCAAGAAACGAAAAAAAAAAGGGATAAGTGTGTAAGAAAGAAAAATAAAAAATGGTTGGAACGGAAGGAATGAAAAACCGAATAAAATAAACAAAAAAAAGAAAAAAGTGTATGATGGAAGAAAGGGAATGAAGTTTGATTGGACGAAAGAAAGAAAAGTGAGGAATGAAACGAAAAAAGAAAAATCGTGTAAGATGACAAAGACGAAGAATAAAAACAAAGAAAACGAGAATAAAGACAGAAAAAAGACGAAAAAGTGAGAACGTCTCTAAAATTAAAGATAGACTTTAGAAGACACGGAAAGAATGAAGAGAAAGGGAAAAAAAAGAAGACACAGGGAAATGGAGTAAGAAAGGAAAAGAAAGAAAAGATGAAGAAAGAAAGAAAAATATTTAAAGAATGTATCAAAATATATGATACAAAAAGAAATATGTAAAATAACAGAAAGAGCCGAAGGAAAGGAAAAGGAGAAAGAAGAAATTTAAGCGGGGAGGAGATGGGAGAAAAAGGTTGAAAAAGAAGTATAAAATAGTGAGAGAGAATAGAATGATTGAAGAAAAGAACGACAGTTTTAAAGACAGAGAACTGCGGAAGATGAAAAAGAAGGAAATATAGATATGAATAAGAAAGAAATAAAGAAATAGTGTAATAGAAAGGTTAGAGGTAGGGAGAAGGAAAAAAGATAAAAGAAAAAGAAAAGAAAGAAAAAAGAAGAAGGGAAAGTTGCCGAAGAAGAAGAACGTGAAGCAAGAGGAAAAAAGAAGAAAGTAAAGAAGAAACAGAAAATGAGGAGGGGGATAGTTGTAGAACAATAATATTGGGAAGAAGAATAAAGTGAAGAAGAAGAAGAAAAAGAAGAAAATGGATGGATGGATAATAAGGAATAACGATTCCAAGAAAGTACCGAAAAAGCGAAGTGAAAAAAGAATACGATATATCTACGAAAGAAATAAGTTAAAAACAATGAAATAATTAAATAAAAAGGAAGCAAAAATAGAAAAATTAACCAGTGAAAAAATGTCCCTATCAAACGTTGATCTCTTTCGCAGCTCCATAGACTTTGTTCTTCATTGTTCCAACTTGTAAGCAACAAAACTCGCTCCAAATTTCCTTTGTATGAAATACAAAAACAAAATGGCGCCGATAATCACGCGAAAACAAAACCGGCGGTTCTATTTAATGCGGCCTTACAAGTCCCTTATCGGTTGAGAAGATCAGTTGACAAAGTACGCGTTTTTACAAGAGAAGAACACCCGTTTTTTTTTTTTTTTGTATCCTTCCCTGGACCTGTGAACACTTGCCAAGTAGGGCAAAAGGCTGTAAACAGATGGATTCTTTTCTTTTTATCGAAAGCTGAATAGAATCAAAGTGATGGATATATTTAGAATAATCATAAATACATGAAATAATTTATCTGCTGTTTTTACTTGTAATCTTTCAACAGAGAACAATGAATTTATATTCGCTTCTCGAAGAACAGAGAACTGTTTTGGAAACACTGTTTTTCTTCAATGCACAAAGCAATTGACTTATAGAAGCAAAAATTTGTTTGCTTCTAATATAATTATCTGTTTCTCGTTACATTGCGATACCTTATAAAAGCGGGGGCGTTTTTGTTTATGTATTTATTTATTAGAGGAAATGTTCAAAACCACACACAGCGTAAGGCAACGCCTTGTATTAATTTTACACTTTTCCTTCTATCTCAAATAGATTTCTGTCTGCGTTATGCAAGTCAATATTTAATTTATGCAAGTTTTTCCGCTTATTAATTAATTCTGCTAAGACTTCTTTTAATCGGAAAATGCAAAAATCCAGGGATCGAGGTTGGGTAATGTAGTCCATTTATCCTTATTTAGATACATTACTGTTGCTATGGTTGCAGTACATATGGCTTCCCTACAATTTTAGTGGGTTACCGAATTCATGAGGCGATGACAGTACTCATTGTGAAATGCTATTACTAATCATTTGTTTACTCTCAAGGGACGTGCTGTTATGCACATTTATTTGCATTGTCGCTTAAAGGTAGTAAGAATAGAATAAGCAATGTAATTTGTTTTTTACGGTTTATCAACCTTATACAAGTTATTTAAAGCCAGAAAATATTTTTTGATTGCAAGATTTTTTTGGAGATAATAATGATTTACTGATACAAGTCTTATTCAGTCATATACACGACTTAGGCGATCATGTATCTTTCGATACAGGACGGACGAAGCAGTTTTACCTCCGCAATAGGTTGACATTTCTTTCTGCTGTAGACCAGTTACCATTCAATGCAAAAGAACCCGGTCTGAACTGCTATTTATCCATAGCTGGGGGGAGAAGAGGAGGATTCATACCTTTCCCAATGTTATTAGCACGTAAGTGAATGTAATGGATTCGACTGGTATTCGAACTCGGCTCTCCGATTCCTCAATCTGAGACGCTATCCATTACTCCACCGTGTCTCCCCATCTTATTAATTAACCCATAACTGAGTGGGGAAAAAGTTAAGAGTATTCGTGCGTAAGCGAATATAACGAACCCGACTGGAATTGGAACACGGTTCTCTGATTTCCTCTTCCGATTCGTTATCCATTACACCACCCGCGCACCTTACAGCACCTAGTATACACAAATGGTCACCCATCTAGGTACTGACCTGGCTTGACGTTGCTTAACCTCGATGATCGTATGAGAACCGGTTTTTGAACGTGATATGTCCGTAAGCTGATATCAATAGAAGATAAAAATACTTTTGATGGCTTAAAACGAAATAGTGAAAAAAAAAATACTTAAATTACAGTTTTTGCAGTGTGACTAGAGCCAGAGGTTCAAGCTACTCAGTAGAATCAAAGTGTCGCAATGCTCCTTGGGGGAGAGATGGTAGATATCTACCACCGAGAAAGGAACTCCAAAAGAAATCTGCCACCTGCCGAGGGAGAAGGAACGCCAAATGATAACCTACAAACTATAGCTATGACTGGTAACGTTTTACCTCACTGAGCCATAGCATGTGAACCTTTGGTTTAAAAGGTGGAATTAGTTTATAATAAACGCCCTATTCATTAACACACTACCTTGAGTGCCTCTTGGATCTTGTATTGGGTGAAGTTTAGTAAAAACAAAAAAAAAAATCCTCTCAAATGCTTTCGATTGATTCCACTCGAGGCCACTTTACCACTAGATCACATACACTAGCGGAAATACAGATAAAAAGATCAAAGAAAACCGTGAGAAAAATGCCATGGGAAAATGAAAGGAAACAAAAAGAAGAAAGAAGAGACAGAATAAATAAGAAAAAGAGAAAGGTAAACGAAGAAAATAGAAATAAACGAAAGAGAAAGATTTTAAAAAAAATAAAATAAAAATAAAAATAATAAAACTGAAACTAAAAGAGACTCCATATAATAAAAACATCGTACAACAGCTTGTGATCATCATTCTAGGTTTCGGATTCTCAAAGTGGGCGGTACCAGTGTGGGCGTTAGGAAAATCCACGGGGCGGTGAGTAAAAAGGGGGGGGGCAGTAGAAAGGGGATTAAAAAAATGGGTGGCATGAAATGGAAAGTTGGCATTAGAATCAAGTAATAATCTCCTCCTCCCCACTTTTTTTTATAAAAACAAATGGCGATTACACTTTCAAAACACATGACATGCTTTACAAGAATAATATTAACAAAGACCCATAGGTCGATTTTATTTTGTTGTTCGAAATTAAAAGTCCGGCTGTTTGATATACCATTATGACGTTACCTTTACAGAACATGCAACATCTCATCATCTTGCGGCCTCAGTCGAGATTGAACTCACCAATACTTTGATTGGTGTAGTTCATAATCTTGTCAATGGGTTATTTAATGCCGACAAGAATTTTATTGCTCGTAATATTTTCTTTTAAAAAATGTATTGCTGGTAATATTTTTTTTCAAAAATATATTGCTGGTAATAATGTATTGCTGGTAATAATTCTTCAAAAATTTGTTGCTGGTAATAATTTTTTACAAAGTATTGCTGGTATTAAAATCTATTTTTACACTTTCATAGTGTTTTGACCCCAGTTTGGGGGTTAACTATTTGCCCATAACTACTACCACCCCCGTATACCTGAGAACACCAGCAACTAAGAGGTGGTTCCACACTCCTCAAAGCCTCCTGATCAGAGGCTTTGCTGCCGGATGTAGTTAATCGTCATACCCAGGACGCTGTAGGTGTAGTTATATAGCAGGGGTGGGGAAACTTGCTAAATGTAAGGAGCCACATACGATAAGGTTTAGATGTTTCAAGCCGCAAAACATGAAATTAGGATTTAAATTCTTAAATATTTTTACTATTCATGAACATTAAACTTGCGTTTTAATCCAATAAGGTATCATTTTATAGCCAGTATATAATTATTTACCTTTTATATTGACTGTGATGAAAAAAGAAGGTCAGCCAAGATATTTCCACGAGCCGCATATTAAAGGTCAAGGATCAGCATGTGACTCCCGAGCCGCGGTTTGGCCACTCCTGCTATATAACGTTTTTTTTTTATAAGCAAATCACCCCAAGCAAGGTGGGAGTGCCACTAGCACGCAAGTTGTTACAGAGGATTGAGAACAAGAGTAAAGAGGAGTGTTTGGGGAAAGGATAAAGAGAAGGACAGGGACCAAGGTCATGGCATCAGTAGATGTCGATTGACATTCCATTTGAATATTTTAAGATTATAGCTATCAGGGAAGCAACTGATAGGAAGGAAGTTCCACTGACGGGAGGTGCGAAATAAGAAGCGGTTGGAGTAGAGGAGATGGTTACATTTAGCCGTTTCGAAAGGGTGGGACCGAGATGCCAACCTAATATAACACTTAAATTCATGCAGTTTGGGAACCAGTGCAAGTAGCTCGTCGGAGTTGTAGAAAAGACCGAGGGAAGCCACAGCGCGTCTGTCAGAAAGTGACTGTAGACGGGATGCCAGATCAGGACCAATCACGTTGCATATCCGTCTCTGGATTTTGGCGATGACCTCGAGATGAACAGCAGGAGCACCAGACCATATGTAGCAGCATTATTCTATGCAAGGACGAATGGTTGATTTGTAGATTTGAAGGATGGAGTCAGGCGAGAAAAACCTTCTGGCACGACACAGAGAACCAACTTTCCTTGCAGTAGACGAAGCTATAGATTCAATGTAGTTGTTCCATCTCAGGTCAGTGGAGAGCGTGAGACCAAGCAGGCACAGAGAGGCGCTATCATGGACATCATCCATCCTCATGGCAGGCAGGGAGGGTTCTCTGTGGTGGGTAAATGAAAGCAGTTTTGATTTAGAGGCAATAAAGTTTACAAGCCATTTCCTGCCCCAGTCAACCACAGATTGTAGATCCTTCTCGAGGCCTTCAGCCATGTTAATTTTGTCAACGATGCTGGATTTACTATTGAGGCAAGAGTAAATAGTAATGTTTTCAGCGTAGATCCCAACTTGTAAATTGATGACACCAGGAAGATCGTTGATGAAGATCAGAAACAGTGTAGGACCCAGGATAGAGCCTTGGGGAACACCAGCGTTCGTGTAAAAGGAACTGGAGAAGAACCATCCGTTTAGGACGACCTTCATTTCACGGTTTGACGGGAATGATTTTATTAAGTCAAATAATCGTCCTATGATGCAGTATCCCTGAAGCTTACGAAGAAGGCCGGCGTGCCAGACTCTATCAAACGCTTTAGAGATATCTAAAGCTACGACTTGAGCTTCTCCGTTATTGTCAAGTGCTTGGTATATAAATTCAGTTATGGTCGTGAGCACGTCAGCAGTGGACCAGGCAAAGCGGAAAACATGTTGCTTGTTTGAGAGCAGATCATGAGATGTAAGGTGCTTAAAGACATAGGTGTTGGCAAAAGCCTCGAAGACTTTGTCGAAGAGTGATAGGAGACTGATAGGACGGTAATTAGATGGGTCAGAATAGTCACGAGAGTTCTTAGAGACAGAGTCAACAGATGAGGACTTCCAACAGGTTGAAAAGCAAGCGTCATTGAGGCAATGGTTATACAGTTTTGAGGGGGCTGATGTTCGTCCGGCGACATCCTAACTAATAGTATGTAAGAAAAAACGAAATGCATATATGTATTTAAGTGTTAGATTCGTTCTTTTAAGCATGCAGTATACCTTATAACAAAAAAGAAATGTCTGGAAACCGCTGGTCTGACTGTTAAGAATAGTAGAAAAGACGATTTCTGGAGTTGAGAGATGTCGGTCAGACGTAAAAGGGAGAGAGAGAGAGAGGACAAAAAAAGGGCTTTAAACATTTCACCAGAGTCGAACAAACAACAAGACTTTCCTTTTCCAAATGTTTTCTTGACAGAATTCATCTTGCACATTTATAATTCGAGCATTCGTCCGAGCATTGAATACTGTTACTATATCTGATCGGGTCCTCCTGTTGTACTTTTCGAAATTCTTTGACAAAATCCAAAGAAATATCTGTACTGTAATCGATTCTGACCAGTCATCTCGACTTCTGTCACTTTCTCATCGACGTGACGTAACTTCCGTCTTTTTTTTTTTTTTTTTAAATATTTTCATTTGATGAGTTCTTATCCCCGGGGCCCTGACTGATTGAATTTACGCGTGCTACTATATTGACAGTTAAGTCTCACAGTTTTATAGTTGAACTAACTAGATGCAACCGTCAATTCAACTATAACAGAGTCTTTTCACGCACTTCCCACCTGTGGAGGTCATTTTTGTTTCCTAGCTTCCCTGATAATTACAATCTTCAAAAATGTAAGTTCAAGGTCAAGAAAGAAAGAATTAGCGAATCAGTTCACCTACATACAGTGGAACCTAGGTTCATGAATTTAATTCGTTCTTGAAGGCCGTTCATAAAGAAAAAGGTAAAAAAGAAAGAAGGAAAGGAAAGGAAAGAAAAGATGGAAAACAATGTGAATATTATAAAGAAAAAGGTAAAAAAGAAGAAAAGAAAGAAGAGTGACAATGTATATAATATAAAGAATACGGTAAAAAAGAAGGAAAGAAAAGAAAGAATGAGACACAATGGACATAATATAACTAAAAAGGTAAAAAAGAAATAAAAAAGATGGAAAAGAAAAATGAAAGACAATGTAAATAATATAAAGGAAAATGAATGAAAAAGAAAGAAAAGAAAGATTAGTGACAATGTAAGTAAAATAAAGGAAAAGGTAAAAAAGAAAGAAAAAAAGATAGTGACAATGTACGTAAAAGGTAAAAAAATGAATGAAAAAGAAAGAAAAGAAAGATTAGTGACAATGTAAGTAAAATGAAGGAAAAGGTAAAAAAGAAAGAAAAAAGATAGTGACAATATACGTAAAAGGTAAAAAATGAATGAAAAAGAAAGAAAAGAAAGATTAGTGGCAATGTAAGTAAAATAAAGGAAAAGGTAAAAAAGAAAGAAAAAAGATAGTGACAATATACGTAAAAGGTAAAAAATGAATGAAAAAGAAAGAAAAGAAAGATTAGTGGCAATGTTAGTAAAAGAAAAGAAAAGGTAAAAAAGGAAGAAAAAAGATAGTGACAATGTACGTAAAAGGTAAAAAAATGAATGATAAAGAAAGAAAAAAAAGATTAGTGGCAATTTAAGTGAAATAAAGGAAAAGGTAAAAAAAGAAAGAAAAAGATAGTGACAATATACGTAAAAGGTAAAAAAAAATGAATGAAAAGAAAGAAAAAGAAAGATTAGTGACAATGTAAGTAAAATAAAGGAAAAGGTAAAA